TCAGAAAATCAAGATGGCGACCGAGTGAGCGGTCATTTTGTAAAAAGTTTCAGATTTCTGATTTTTCAAATGCATTTTTTGGGCAGTTGGCAACATTTGGGAAACTCGAGTTGTATAGAGCGATTACGTAGTTTGCTAAGGAGTATCGTTTGGAAAAACAACATTTTCCAGTGTTGCCATACTTATTGCATTTTTCGCTTAATCTAGACCATTTTCCGCGCCGAAACCCATTTTTACTTTTTTTCTAACTTAAACCAATCCCGTGAAACAATTCCTTAAAACCACCCAAGTCCCAAAATTTTGTGGCCCCGTAACTGCCAGTGTTGCCAGGTAATCGAGATAAAAATAGTCAAATGTCATTAGTTTGACCTATTTGCAGGAGGCGTCATCCAAATTTTGGACCAAAAGTCGTTATTTCCATTTTTTACATGTTTTGACCAAATCTTTCAAAGTATGGCAACACTGGAAAATGTTGTTTTTCCAAACGATACTCCTTAGCAAACTACGTAATCGCTCTATACAACTCGAGTTTCCCAAATGTTGCCAACTGCCCAAAAAATGCATTTGAAAAATCAGAAATCTGAAACTTTTTACAAAATGACCGCTCACTCGGTCGCCATCTTGATTTTCTGAATTTTCGGATTTTTCCCATAATCTGGGTCGTATAACCGACCAAACCCCATTTTTGGATTTTTTCTGCCATATCTCCTTCTGTCCGTCCTTAACTTTAAAGACACCCATGTCGAAAAAAAATACTTTTCCCCATAGCTGCAAGTGTTGCCAGGTGATCGAGATGAAAATGGTCAAATGTCATTTGTACGACCCTTTTGCAGGAGGCGTCATCCAAATTTTTGACCGGAAGTCGTTATTTCCACTTTCGACATTTTTGGACCAAATCTCCGAAAGCATGGCAACACTGGAGAAATTTCTTCACCCAAGCGACACCTCTTGACAAGACACACAAACGCCTCATACAACTCGTCTTTCCCAAATGTTGCCAACTACTCGAAAAATGTCACCTTTCAGTTTTAATTTCACTTTACAAAATTCGACAACCGTCATTCAGGACTGATTTTTCGCAGGCAACCCTATACCACCGTGTTCATAATGAAATAATCTTTATTTTCATTTATATTTGATTAAATTATCAGACCGATGCAAAATGCTCTATCAATTTACCTGTTTATACCTGGCAACCCGAGAGTTATGACTGGAAAAGAATAGGCAACCTAACGTTTGCATATTCTATGGGCTTCATACTTTCGATTGGTATGGAGTTTGTTTAATAATCAAACCGATGAAATATTTAAAAATAAAACTTTTTTTAATAATTAATTAATCATATCCTGGACTGAAATTTATTAGGCAACCCTTAAGCAATATAATTATTGACATGTTAAATTGAATATAAAATATGTTTCATCAAATAAGCATCTCGGTGAAGGTCCTTGTATAGCGGGATCTTAGACTATTATCTAAAAGTGCGCAACGCTCAAGTAGTCACATCACACGTACTCCTTCACCTGGATCTCAACAGAAAGGCGCTGAGGCCGCCCACTTGCGCAAGAGTGCCGCTCATCACCGGGCACCGCACGCCTGACGAGCGCGGAATAAATGGAAACGTGTACATTTACGGTACGATTATCTGATACGAGCTAACTAACTTTTTTTGAAATGTATGGCAAAATATTGTCACACAACCATGTTGAAGCTTATTGTATGCATGTGTGTAAAAGTTATAGGTAGGCTGGTAGGGCCCAAAAGATAACGAGACACGTAAAGTGCCCCTTAACCTTTGTTTTTTTACTGTTTTTTGACGTTCATAAGTGTCAAAATTGAATAAAATATTTTTAATTTTGATTTTATCATTTTTACATCTTGAAAATTCGCAATTTCAGATATTCTTTACAGCCTGAAATAGATGAAAAAAATATTGCAACGCTGCTCTTTAAATAATTCTTTTCGGCTTTACTAATGGGAGATGATTTAATTTAAAACTATTCGCCTTTACAGATCTACGTCCGCCCACCGTAAGTGAGCAAAGCTGTAGCATTGTAGACATTTACGCAACACGTCCCTACGTTGCGGCTTCTGCCAATTTGCGTTCATTTGACCCTCCGGTGGACAAATATTAGTTTCCACATGAACAAATAACGCATTTCGAAATGACAGTCGTTGAAATTCCACAGTCTGTTGTTTTTGAACGTGATAGGAATGGCTCAGCTGTAATTTGCATCGCCCAACATTCTTATTTATACCGAAAGGAGGTAAACAACTCCGCTAAATAGAGTTGCGAAGCAATTCCGCAGAAATGAGGTAATAATTCTATCTACATTGCGACACAACTATTTATCAACTAGTAATAAATGGTCAACGCAAACGTACAATCTGGGGGCACGGCAGTGCCCCCGCCAAGTCGAGCGCGAAGCAAACACTGCCGTACCATCCTTTACTGGAACCATTTCGCGGCATTTTCAGGCCCCTATTTGAGAACCTCTGGATAAGAGCAGAACGCAGAAACTTTCGTCATCTATTAAGCTATAATCACATACTTAAAATCCAAAATTTCAAGTCTGTAGGTCATTTAGTTCCGAAGTTAAGCGAAAGCAAAGTTTCGCATTTATGACACTCACTCACTCACTGATGATCATCAAAATAGAACTAGTACTTCCCATAAACTCAGAGAGCTGAAATNGGTGGAATAAGATTTACGGCCGCGGTGATATATTATAAGCGGCGAAAGTGGCCGGTGTTTACAAGTTATTCGTGTTTATGCCGAGCGCCCGCGCATCCGCCCGGCAACATCCACGCGGCTGATTCTGAGACGACACTATGTCTACGACTGTATCTTTTTCTTTCGTTTTTAATAAGAAGAAATATTTATTTGTCTTTGAATAGGGTGTACAGAAGGTCGATAATAACAAAATATGATCACCTAAGGTGAGAAAAACTTCGGAACTGTCAAAGATTTAACATTTTTGTTAATTGGTCCGTATTTGGCACTATATGCCACTGAGCGGTATCTTGATGAGCGAGTTGTTTTAGATAAAAGTTTAAATTGAACTTTATTTAATTATTTTTTCGATAAAGTATCTAAGATAACCTGCAAGATAAATCCCATCAAAAACATTCTGTAAAAAAACTAGCCAAGTCTCGATGGAACTGCTTGTTTATCTCTAAAAAGTAATGAAATCTAGACAAAGTCGTGCCAAGTCTATGGTTCTTTACTGCGATTTCTTTATTATTATAGTTAATGTTGTGTGACTTGGCCGTTGAACAATCTTTATTAAGATAATCAATAATCATGCATAAGTATTATTGAAATACGCAGCTTTATTAAGCCTACAATTCACTGGTTATTAAATCAACGTTTTCCAAGTGGCAATTTTCCATCGTCAATGGGTAGCGGTTCTGGCAACAGATTGGTGCAATGGTGTCATGGAGCACCTGGTTTTGTACCCTTCAACGGCCAAGTCACACAACATTAACTATAATAATAAAGAAATCGCAGTAAAGAACCATAGACTTGGCACGACTTTGTCTAGATTTCATTACTTTTTAGAGATAAACAAGCAGTTCCATCGAGACTTGGCTAGTTTTTTTACAGAATGTTTTTGATGGGATTTATCTTGCAGGTTATCTTAGATACTTTATCGAAAAAATAATTAAATAAAGTTCAATTTAAACTTTTATCTAAAACAACTCGCTCATCAAGATACCGCTCAGTGGCATATAGTGCCAAATACGGACCAATTAACAAAAATGTTAAATCTTTGACAGTTCCGAAGTTTTTCTCACCTTAGGTGATCATATTTTGTTATTATCGACCTTCTGTACACCCTATTCAAAGACAAATAAATATTTCTTCTTATTAAAAACGAAAGAAAAAGATACAGTCGTAGACATAGTGTCGTCTCAGAATCAGCCGCGTGGATGTTGCCGGGCGGATGCGCGGGCGCTCGGCATAAACACGAATAACTTGTAAACACCGGCCACTTTCGCCGCTTATAATATATCACCGCGGCCGTAAATCTTATTCCACCATGTTGTACGTTGGATATTGGACCCACCCACGCGGGCTCCCGGAATGCATCAGTGATGGAAGTTGACAACAAACGTTTACGAGCTCACAATGCATGACAAGCACAAAAGTGAATTTCCTTTACCTACTTGTAATTTTATAAGCAATCAAATCAATTAAAATTATTCTGAAACACTATGGCCCAGAACACACGGTGAAACGCAACTGCAACGAAACTGCTAGTTACTTTTGAGTTGCATCTAAGTGTCTGCCATAGCGTCCGTTGAGAGACCACACATGACGCGACCAGTTTGAAACTTTCAGTTTCAGTTTCATTCATCAGAAAGTTTCAGTTTCGTTGCAGTTGCGTTTCACCGTCTGCTCTGTCATCTGTCAAATAATATGAATTTCCATATTCCTTGTTTGAGAAAAGAGGTTTCCCGTACAAACTACCACGACTTTTGGTAACCGTAGCATTTCGTAGCATTTGTCGTTCCTCTCAATCTGATCTAACTCTAATATTATTTTTACGCAATACTGAATTATTCGATGACATTAAATATTTGTCGAGATAACAATACTACAGCCAAATTTTATGTGCATAGTAAGTCCAAGGATTTTGGCGTGTATTTGTAATACATACGTGATTAACTTGCAAAACGCTGTTTGTCGCCGGCTAACATTCCGTGGCGAACTCTGTTTTATTGTACTTGTCTGACATGCAGATTGAGTTATTCGCGGGTAATACGCAGTATACATGCATATACGATGTAATTTAGGAATAATATGTGTAATTCTAAGGAATTCTCTCAAATATGCCTTAGGCTATCTTAGAGATGTAGAGTCAAACAAAAGTAACGAGTTAGACAGCTAAGGCGCCTGAAAAAGCGATCGTATGTTAACTTTAATATCAATTCAGCGGCGAATGTTTTAGTTACATCATTGATTAATGCACATGTATCTATTTCTATGCTTTCAGGTCGAGTCGTCGCCACAAGTGTCACTGGTGAGGTGACTAGTTAATAATGCGGGTTGTGTAACATAGTAATATCTCCCAATAGACTGGCAACTTTCTTTGGATCGGGCGGACGCACGGCCGGCCGGGTGACCGACGCAGCCGGAACCGTTGCGCAACACTATGCGAACAATATAACAAGTGTCTAGAAATATTTAAGTATGTGATCAAGTGTTTTAATAGTAAACAAACGGAATCATAGTATATTGTGATTTTAGTTTTGACTGACGTTGCTTAGATTATTTATTATTGTAGAGCCATAACAATGAGGGATATCGTAAAGTATTGTATATGTTATTATTTAAAAACAATGGTAATAAATAGTTAAAGTCACTGCTGCTTTTATTTTTCATCCACTGTATGCATCTGCCCCCTAATATACCACATGTGGACCAATAGTTACTTACCTAAGACATTTTCGTAATAGAAAAATCAATGGATATAGTACTAATGAAGGTTTCTTATAAATAAAAGATTATATGAACCACGATAAAATACTTTCTCCCTAAATAATTCACAGTGTAGCGGAGAATTTCTCCCATCCATCACGTACCAAATCCAATATGGAAGAATATACATAATAGGTGTAAAATGTATGATCACTATCATTTAAGAGTTTTACGACACGTGGAATAGCCTCCTCGGTGAAAAGTGTTCAACAAAAGATAAATGCTTCACAACAAGTTAACTGGAAAATCACTTGCCGATAAAGTTAACCGTATGTGTTAAAATCTTTTACGCATACTTGGGCGCTTGACGTATTGAACAAGTGAACCTACATTAGTTACAACTTTGACAAACGTCAAAAATCTGTCAAACTCCATAGAAAAAGCACCGGATAATGTTAATGTTACGGTTAAAATAAGGTGGTGCAACTCAGTCTTAATTACTCGGTGTCAAATTAGTCAACTACAAACTTAATATTTTACTTCTGGAATGTTGTAAGTAGCATGTATTGATAACTTTTGTTTAAAAAATATCAAATTGATAACAATTTAGTAAAGATAACCTATCCATCATCTCGTTACGAAAATCAATCGAACGAGTGTTGCCATAATAAATTATGATAATAAAGCGTTGATCACGCTGTCAGACGCACAAAGCTTGCTTTGGAGATTAATTTATTTTATCTATCATCAATTTTCTTCGGCGCAGGTTTTGATATGATGTCGTAATTACACGTGCAGGCGCATCTTAATTAAGATGGCCATCTTCTTACAGCTGTAGGTGCTTTAGAAAGTTAACTTATTGATAAAGTTGTGATCTTGCACATATCATGGTAAACACTTTTGCAAGTGGCAATACTATTGTAAGATAGTTTATACGTTTCTACTCAACTACACTCGACATCAAATAAATCGCACCTCCCGCGACAAGCACTTTCAAACGTATGTATCCCCACTTCACACCAATATTGGCACCATTTAAAAGCCTAGTTCTAAACTTTATTTCATTCAAGGAAAGGTTTTTCACTCCAAAAATGTGTTCTTAGAAGAACCCAGAGTCACTTCTTCAAAAAATAGGTAGTTACGCTTGAGCCAACTTTTATGGCTATAAAACTGTTAAGTTGGGATTAATCGCTATTCATCTGTTAAAGAGGACACGTGAGATCATTATTTGGTTTTATAACCAAAAAATTGGTCTAATTGATCCCAGAGGTGAGCCCAAAGTGAGGTATTTTTTCAAGTCACATTTATTGTATACTATACTATGTTAATCGTTTATTAAGAAATTAAATGTGTTTTTTCTTTAAGGATATTTATTGGGCTTTCAAATAACACCAATATTGTTGGGGCACCATGATAGTGTCAGTAGAAACGAGTTTTCCTGTAAAACGTAGGTGGGCCGATTTTCGTAAAGACCAGTGTATTAATACTTATAATAGAAGAGACTATTTTTCTGCTTTTTTGCTAAAAAGAAATTATTTACGGCCGCAATCATTGTTATGAAACGCTTGCGCATGCGTTCCGTTTGATGTTGCCGCACATCATTTTGATTGGTCATTTTATGTCACGGTTCACGGTAGGGATGTCACGTTTTGTTAATTCGTTTACATCGAAATCATAGAATCTAAAATAAGTAGTTATTTCATGTTCAACGAATTTGGCACTTCAGACAGGTAGACTTTGTTTGCTTGACTTACCGGGTGATCTTTTTACTGTAATCTGTCTCATAATTTCTACGTGGTCCGTGTTTTAATTACTTATTTGATATTGCCATCAAACCTGATTTCAAGTTTTGCCCTTATGGGGTTCAAAGCATGTTTGTTAATAACCTGCAGATTGTAGAGACACCCCTAACACGCGCTACTTTCCCGGCAGGGTCTGGCGAAAGTCTGTGGTTTTGCGCTTTACTTTTTATCTATTTTCTTACATTTGGCAGCAGTCATTGCCCCAACATAATGCGGAATTATTATACACAGTTCTTGAAAAAATACAAATTTTTAGATGAAAAAGTTCATTAATTTTGAAAAAACCTAATCTTTCTTTTTGTCAGAAAAATACACCCCCAACTAATTCTAAAGGATGATTGAATGACCCTAATAATAACAATATTTCACTTACAAAATTAAAGTTATGACCAGGAAAAATTTGTAACATACCTAAGTAGAAGATTGGATCTAATTTAGAACCAATCAAAGAATTTCAATTTTAAATACTATACTTATTTGGAAACAATATTTACTTGTTTGATCACAAGCAAATACATTTTCGTAATACAGGTATTTGGCCTTGGTATTATAGCAACATTAGTGCGGCCACTAGCCTTAGCCCGCGGGGTTGTTTGGAGGCCGTTAGGTCTAGCGTTTGAATGACTGCTTATTAAAAACCACAAAATATTTCCTCCGTGTGGCCGATACAACAATAGTTCAAGTGTACCTGTTAAAAAACAATGTCGACCTTGTCATGTCGGGTATGTAAAGGCAAGATGAATGACCTACTTTGTATACAATATACATTTCAATATTTTTCGTTTTAATAAAGCCCAAACAAAGACACAATGAGAAAAATAAAACCACAGGCTTTTCCCTAGAATAACTATTGCGACTCTTGACTTCACACTAAGTAATGCCCTGGTAAGAGAAAGAATCCAAGTGATACCTTACTCCATACGAATAATTACCCTGGACTTTGTTTTCTTGTTACACTCACTTTTACAGTCCCAGGCGTGCTATGAAAAGTACTGTAGTACGCACCATAATACAGTACCATACTGTGGAATCAATGAAACCACCTATATTTTGATTACTCATTCTTGGGAAACTAAAGTTCACTACAAGACACGGTGATAGGAGATTACTATGTCTGAAATAGTAAAGGTAACCTTTGCAGGCCGCCGCGCTGAATTGTTGTCCAATAAACATTGCACAAATAACATAGAAAAGTAACGTCAACAAAACAAATAAGTTTTTGACAACTTTACTGAAACAAAACTTTTTGCTTTACAGCTTCTAAATGAGTTTTTTAACTTAATACTAACCCGTAAGTGCCCGATTCTTTTACAGGTTAAATAAAATCCGTACGTCGATAATAAAAGTTAATTCAAAATCATTGTCCTACTATCACTTGAAATTCATGTTTTCAGGCAAGTGTGTAAAATCGTAAATATTGCAGATCAGTTAACTACGAATCGGTCGTAAATAATAATCAATATCTGATTAACTGTGGGCAGTATCCCAGATACGATCTCTGATGAAGTTTATTTGCTGTCGGTCCTCGCGCTCGCGTGAGAACTAATTGAATTCGCCGGAGGTGCTGCGCCCGCGCCGTCGCCGCGCAAACATTGCTAATGGCCTGTGATTGTACGACAAAGCTCATGATAATCGAATTTTATTGTAATTAGAACGGAAGCTATGAAATTGTGAAATTGGTGGGAGTGAGTAGGTCTATCTATCCGAAATTGGGATAAAAAGGCTGATCGAATCAAATCTAATAGGAACAGTCGACGTCAAATAGTACACCAAAAGTGACCAAAAAGTTGACAACACAAGCTATTCAATTATTTTGTAAAGACGCGTTGCAAACTTTTTAGCTACTTTGAGTATCACGACCTATTTGACTCTGACAGTGCATCACTTATCATTTAGTCGAAAATTATCGAATCGATTGAATTTAACGCTCACAAAAGCAATGTTTGAATGAAAATGAATGAATTTGACTTGTTTCCAAATCATTTAATCGTAATTTAATGCAGTGGGCATGACAGCGTTCATTTAATTTTCAGTGTTCAAAATGATTGATATGTAACAGGCGATGACAGCCGAAGGTCTTGTTGTTTCATTTCAGTTGCTGCGGTATACGACGCAGTTAATATGTATTTAACGCCCGATTAATAACGTGTCAATGTTAATTGTACAAGCTCATATTTAATTAGTAGACTTGAGGAACGTGACTAGCTAAATTATTTATTTGGAACTAAAAAGTAATTTATAGAAATAAAAAATGCTTTAACTAAATGTGTGTGGTTTTTCAACATTACTCGTACATAAAACAAAAGGACATTTAACAGATACCACAGTTAATAAATCAAACAAACATTCTTTATTTGTCTCATTGCGTGATTGACATGTCCGCAAATGAAAAGAAGTCTAATTAGAAGGTACTCGTACGTCACAACGAATCTATTTCGCGGCAGGTGGCGTGCGCAAGAGTTGCGAAATCGAGCTAAATTAAACGGAACCAAAACGTTCGAACTTGCGCCATAGCACCGTATGGGGTATGGGTATGCAAACCCTTATGGAGAAATTAAACTATTCCTTTGCTAGCGCTGTGATCGGATTTGGATTAACATAGAAAATTAGACATAACTCTAATACCTGTGGAATAGGACATGAAGACTTTCTGTTGTCGATGAAGATGTTTTTGTTAAATTCACTCTCTGAGACTTTTAAAAGCTCATTATATGAGACGTATTATGAACTTATACGAGTCAATCCGTTAATTTTTTCAACTATTGAATCAATTCAATATTTAAGTTAACCATTCACAGGCTTGGATGGTCGAGATTAATCCAGTTTTGATCTTCGTTTCATAAGACAGACTTAACGTAATTTGGAGATTTGCTAGAATTTGCAAACTCAAAGTCAAGACAATGCACCGCCCAAGTAACACGCAATCTGTATATTCACTGAAGTTAAGATTGATTTACGTTTTAAAGTCAGACTATCACTTTAAATCAGTTTTGACTTAGTTTAAATGCTTTTGAGTAGAATGCGGTAAAATTTACAATGCATGAAGCTATTATATGGTCAAAAAAATTAAGTTAATTGGCTTATAATCATACTAAAACATTAATTACTTTTAATATACAGCACCTTTAACAGCATTTACACTAACACAAAGGTTAAAACCGTATATTAGTAAATAAGAAAACCTAATGCATTAAATAAACGTTGTCGAAATATTCTATAGTGCATTCAGATATATTAACACATTTTACAGATTGAACGCATTTTTATGATCTTTTCTTATGCTTATTTACTGCTCAGCATTAGCCAAACATTTACTAAAGTTTTAGCTCTGTTATCTTCTTATTTTATTGTTACTTTAAAGCTTTTAGCACTATTTAGATAAATAAAAAAAATATTTTATTACTTTAGGTCATAATTTGGCCATAAAACCACGAGCCGTATGATTATATTCATTTGTGCGTTAGTAGGTCCTGTATATTCATTAGAAAATTTATGTCGAACGTGTCACGTTATTGACATGAATAAACAGTGGAAAAAGACTTAAGGCCGGGTTGCACCAACTTACTTTAACAAACGTCAAAAATCTGTCAAACCCCATACAAAAAACATCGGTTATCGTCATAGTTACGGTCAAAGTTAGGTGGTGCAACTCAGCCTAAGAGAACAGGTGGAGTAAAGAGAAAGATAAAGACGGAATATTCAAACTTTATATTTGGTTTAAGAAATGCAAAACGTGTTCCAAAAAATGATACACCTCATACACAAAATACAGTACAATCGGTTGTTGTGTGAGTCAAGAAGTTCCGTAGAACATTCCTTCATCCCTTTCGGTCGTTTGCACTATTTTAAAAGGCATCTGAAAAAAAAACAAATAAGCTTATTTATGACTTAATAGAGAAGTAGTTACCTGAAAACTAAATAATTACCCGTATAACGCATACCCTTAAAAAAACGACTACAGCAACACTACTAACTAGTTACAAAAAGTTCCTTTAAATTATTACTATTACAATGAGCGAAAAATAAGATAGGTAGCTATATCGTGTTTCATTACAAATTACATTTGTAGTGATAATGATTTTATACTTAACACTTGTCAAACTAGGTACCTACCTAATTGGAGACAGATAAAATTGAAAGACGTGGAGTAGGGGATCATGACGTGATTAAAGGATTCTAAATTATTGTTTCGGTACCCTGATTAACACTAAAGCAATCCATTTTTATGACGTTTAAACCTAATGAACATTATAACATACCTAAAAAGTGTTACAGTAATGCTAAAGATATCACTTAGATATTTTATATGTAGGTTGAATGACTTAACCATTTTCTTTTTACTATAATAAGACTGACAACATTAAAAGACACTAGTTGAAAGTTTAAAACATTAATATTATCTGACGCCATTTGCTTTCTGTTTTCTCTAACATAGAAAATAAAATTATAATACACATATGCATGAAATACTACTTATTATCCTTTTCTTACAAGCGGAGTATCGATAGAAGCAATTTTATAAGTTAAAATTAATCAAATCGTTAAAAAAATCACAAAAAGTGTCATATGTCGATTCTAAATTTGTCCCTATTTTATTAAAAAAAGGATTTCTGTGAGGGCGCGTGAATTATAAACCACAAACATATATATATTTTCACATAAGACTAATACTCCCAGCTCATTTTCATTCTTGAAACAAAAAAAAATGATACTTACCTTATGATAAATTATTTTAAATAAAGACATTAAAACATCTCCTCACAACACCATTGCACTGCAATACTCTAAACGAAAAATAATCAAATCGGACAATAAAATGCGATAAGTTTTTTCGAATACTTTCAAACAAACAAAATAAAACGTTCATCCTTACAATAAAACGTAACTTTGGCATTGTAATTCTGAAAGCTGTTTCAAAGCTGTACTAACATCTAATAAAATGCTTTTTACATTAGAATATGCTGTCTAACAACTTTACTAATGTCTGTCTTCAATAACATTATAAGCGCTGGTTAGCAGCACTAATAATATTTAATAATGCTCAAAGCCGTATTATTTGGGGCCCAAATTGCGCTTACAAGACACTTATAGACTTTTATACGGCTGATATAGTGCTACATATGCTGCTCATATACTGCTCTGCACGTAGGTTCATGCTGTTGTACGCTTCTTATAATTGTGTTTTGTGTTACTTGGGCGGATGTGAGAAGCTTCCTCGCAATTAACATTTCGGTTAAATGAGCTGATCTGAGCCTGTCAAGCAGGAAATATTTTTATTTCAATCGTATACAAGGCATCAGAATATTAGGAAGATGATAAGGTATCATAGTTCACACCACCTAGTTAAAATGAGACTAATTAATAAAAAAATATGTAGAGTGAGTGTTAACGTTTGGTAGAGATCTAAATCCAAATTAACGTCAATATGCATGCAGGTATAAAGTTCTCACATGCTTCGTTCCTAGCTCGGCAGTGTATTCTAGAATGTGCGCGACTGGCCGAGTGCGCCGTGCATTGCGCAGGTGAAAGGGACGGCCCTACGGACAATTTGTATACAGTCAGCAATAGTTACTGGTAATATGTTTTTTTTATTCTCAAAGCTTAAAGAACTGCATGACCATTTTTCAGCCCTTCTTCTTCTTGTCGTGTCGACAACAAATCTACAGTGTCAGCCCAAAACTCTGCTACAAGAGTGGCATTTTCAGTAGCCTTCATTATGACTTTCTGCGTGCAGTTGTTTGGGCACGCCGCAGGGCACGACATCATGTGCTTCGTCGACTGGGGAGCAATTAACCATACTTGCACTCCAAGTTTGAGCAATCAAATTCAAGAATCCCCAATTGAACACAATTAAAATAGAACTAAACTTGAAACAAACAACTTGACTTAGGTAAAAGCTCGTAAAAACCATGCTTTAAGTTTAATCTATGCTCAACCTTTAATGCCGTGTATTTTCTTGTCTATTTATCTCTTACTCTCATTTCTGTATCCAGATTTAGTAAGAGGGAAGAAACCTGAAAATACTAAATAACACCAAGGGATTCCCCTACAACAGCTTTAAGTCCAGGACTTATTGTGCCGCCTGTACCTTCGTGACTCGGCGCGCCCGCGCGGCCTTTCCGACGTTTCCACCAGCGCTGCGGCGTTTCACAAACCGAGCGAGAATGCCGCCGGGAAACACTTTAATAAATAAATAAATAAATCTTTGGACAATTTCACACAGCGCCAGCTAGCCCCAAAGTAAGCAACTTAATGCTTGTGTTATGGGTGCTAGCTTGACGGATACACTACTTATATACTTTTTTTTAAATACATACATATTATACATAGTAACACCCAGACCCGTCACAGAAATTAAAATTCATCATTTCAATTTCTGCCCGGCCGGGAATCGAACCCGGGACCTCTCGGCATAGTAGTCCGTTCTGAACCACTACACCAAACGGCCGACAAACTAATTGCAAAATCTATTCGATTTATTATCTGAGAAGTGCCTATTTAGTTTAAATGCGAATAACTTTGGACATTTTACACTGAGCTATCTATACTAGACCCAAACTAAGCAAAGCCTGACAATGGACGGTCATAAAGATCCAGTCTGATACAAACAATTAAATATTTGTTTTGTGGAGATCGAGTTCGCAACATCAGAAATAATAGAAGCAGTAGGTATGCGAACCACAGGTCAAACGGCCGTTAAGATGCAAATGCATCCTGTGGCGACTTAAAAAAATAAGTTCTTTTATCTGTATGTGTTTAAACAAATGGAGCCTTTCGCATATCCTTGAGAACCCAGAGGTTTGCGCTAGGCTCAGGTGCGCGAGGACGTTGCGCAAGTGGCAAAGTTCGCCGGCCGATCGGGCATATCGCAATAGCAATAGCACATAATAACCGCAATCATTCCCAGCCGTAACCAATTTAACTCATCACTCGACAACTTCACGTGTGGAGAACGAGGGTTATGTATTTCAAATGCTCAGGCCGTGTCTTTTATAGATATTAGATAAGTTGTATTTAGATTAATCTCCAAAATCACTTATTGTTTTTGTATAAAGATCATGAAAGAAACTTAAACTTAATCGGCCTAGGATTCAACTCACAGATGGAGTACCTACTTGTTTCATGATACCCTGAAAACTATTTTGTCAGTATGAAATTAAATATGAATAATTACCAGCCGACTTTTGATAAGTTTTATTATTTAGCTAATTTGTACACAGAAAAAGCAATAAATAAATAAATTCTATTCTATTCTATTCTATTCTTTAGGTACCATATTCCTATTTTTCCATCTATAAGATTTTTTTAAGGTTTGACATTTTGGAACATAATGGATGAGCTCAATTGCGCCGCTGCGCTTGCGCAAGCGGACCAAATTCGTTGTTGTTATAAATACGATTTATAATAATAACACAAGTTATTTCCCGCGACTTTGTTCACATTTAATGCAATAAAAATTGGTCCTGTACTTTTTTTGTGAAGAACTAACAAATATCCTAGCCATCTTCCCAAACATTGGGATTTTTTTTTTCAAATTGCAAATAGATTCATAAACATTTTCTAATACCTACACTCGACTTCATTTCCCGTTCGTCTTACTTCGCTTATTAATATAAAAATTAATGCACGGGTCCTCTTGTACTTATTTTACATAAAAACGGATTTGCCCGTCTAAATACATAGGAAGGTTACGTAAAGGTAATATTGACACAACTTTTCAATTACTGGTAACAAAAACATCAACGCATGTCGAAACAAACAACATTTGAATATTACACCCATAACAACTAAAACATACGAGTTCGTTTTCCCATGGACAAAGCTCTGGCTGCCGAAAGCTTATGATTACTGCTGTAGCTTTGACCCTCCGCGCCGTTAGCCTATTCATAAAAGCTCAGATTTATGTTGGTCACGTTCCAATATATTCTAATCAAGTAATAAACGTAGTGTGGAGAAAATATTGTAATATTAATCCGTTAGCTGCAAATTGGGGTCGGTCAAAGTTTAATTCTTTGATTCACAAATAAATATTTGTTTTATCTGCGTAGCAGATATTATTTTTTCTTTTATTGTTCGACGATAGTGCGTATAATTCAATCCCTTTTGAAATATAATGGCCTTACTGACACGTTCGGCAGAAAAAGATGCTGGAGCAGCCAACGGTACCCAGCACAAAGGCAGAAAGTATGATTCGTACTCGTGTATACAATTTATCGGACGTTTTCGAGGCTGTGATTATAGGCCATAAGACGCCGTTACTATTTTACGATGGTCATGTCATGATTCAGTTTTTTTCTATGTTTGTATCATCATTTTTTGTACACGGAAGGTTGGCATAATTTTAAGACTAATTAACATTAATTGGCGATTTGTTTTTTTAAACAGGTGTAGGCATGCGGATCCATTTTTAGGGTTTCGTACCCAGAAGGAATGTTCGTGATCACTAAATGAACTTAATTAATTCTTAGTGGTTAAAAGATTGAAAATCTAAGGCAACGTCATAAAAAAAACTCCAGACATTTATGCCGTATATTTTCACAGACTCGCCAATAACTAATCTTTATTTGGGTATTATGTAGGCATGTTTGTTGAACTTCTCAATGATACCAATGAGTATTTGAAAAACTTCAACGATTTCCAATTTCATTAATGAATAGGCATTGCATTCATATGAGGTTTCGTTGTAATTAGTACGAAACGCTTACCACAAAAAGCATGTATGAACCACTGCAAAATCCGTGTTGCGATACACTAGCTAATAGCGCTAAACTCGACTAGTTAGGAAACCCATTTCCAGTTGACAAATAGATGGTTCTCATGTTTTTGTGACTGCGTCGGGTACAAGTCCCCATACTATTTACATAGGTACCTACTTTAAGTAGAGACTGACAACACCGTTTGCAATCTCATAAAACTACGCAAACTGCTGCATTCTTAGTACAATCTGCTACATACACTAGTCAGGTGTGACTTACACGTGATTACAGTGGTGTATCACTCATGGTATTTTCAGAAGCTAGATCAAAGTTTTTATGCTCTAGACCTGGGAGTTTTTTTGTAGCTGAGTGTATTACGCGTGTCGCGACGCAAGCGGCGACACACTCACTTGTCACGGACCACCAATTTGTTGGCCAACACTAATAACGTTAGAACGTAATTTTATTACAGTGAAGAGTACTTATTACTCATTCTATCAGTCATGTTGGGTAATTGTGACGGAATTCTCTCAACTGAGCTCTATGTGACACAGCATGCCAATTGAATTAGCTAAATATGTATGTCAGCTCAAATTACGCAAATTCCTTACCATCATCGTAGACTAAAATGGCGTAGCTTCAAAATGAAAGAAAAGGGACTTCGTGTTGTGATTGTTTTAAAGTGAAAAATATAGCTTTATAGCTGGTAAAATAACTGTATGTAGGTTCAAGCAATGTCTCTCCATATCTGAATCCATCATCAATTGTTTAATTTAAACGACAATTTTGATGCATGGACTTTCATATGAAAGTGATAAAATATGTATATGTATAATCTAATTTCCTTTGAAATTGTTTTAATTTTTCTTACTGCATTTGTGTAATACCGGTGTGCTTAGTAAATAAATAAGTATCGATTATTCCTCGGCACGCATGCGCTGCGCTGGCGCAAGCCCGCGGTTGCAGCGTTGGGCAACACTGCACTGCTGCATAGATCTGTCGAAACTTTTGTTTGCGCACTTTTATGGCGTTTTGTGAAACGTTACTAAACTTGCATTGCTGAAGGCACACGTTTTTAGATTTACGGCTTCTAAGTATTGTGTGCAATACCTATCTCCAGTTGCCATAATGTCGCGGCAATAAGCAACTAAAAACTTCTCCATAAATAACATGCATCCCGCCTGAATAACGATGAGCTGATGCGTCGCTAGAAAAGTGATCAGTGACCACTGCGTGTGCTGAATGCACGTCAATGTTGGGTAACGCATTTTCAGAATAACCACGATTGAGAAATTGTTCATTTGGTAATTAATCAGCACGAGACAAAAGACGAGGTCGTATGGTGGCAAACACTGATTCAAGATGTGTTAAACAAAGTTACGAATTACGATACATGCTAATTTCAATGAAATACTAATAGCTACTCAAGTAAAAATGTACGACATGACAAGCCGACTTAAAAGAAATTCTTTCTTCAGACTTAGGACATTAAATAGGTTCACAAAGTATTGTCTACTAGAGCCTATTAGAGAGAAGCAATACAGTGCGTGCCTCCGAGCGGTTATCTATCGCCGGCTGTGTAGCTGGAACATTGTTTCCGAAACATTGTCCGTGTAGTTTTATCGTGGGAACACGCGCGTTCGGTGTTTTCCGATAATGTAGATAGTGACGAGACTCCGACTGAGGCCCCGACATATCGATAAATAAACTCTGTTACTGAAAAGTACCTAAGTAAATAAGTAGGTATGCAATAACAATGTACCATTAAAAATATAGATACCTAATAGGTATAGACAAAATATAATATTAATTTTAAACGGTATCTATCTCAAATCAGAATAAGTTGAGTTTCTTGTGCTGTTTTTTTTCTTTTAGGCATCGCCAATTTCGGGCATTTTTATCGACAATCTTATGGTGGTACTGGACATCACTAGCGCACTGCTGAGGCTACATTGTATCCTCAAGCTAACTAAGCTAGTTTATCGTCTCGGAAGAGGCCGTGTTTATGGGGGCTCGTTATGGAATAACTTCATCCATAACTCCGCACATTAAAAACACTATAAATTTGTAAATTCCTAAAGGAACTAGTTATTTCCTAATGCAACTTCCTTAACATATAAAAAAGACAAGATTATAACCTAACCTAAACACGCAATTATGGTATCAAGATCACAAACTTCTAAACCAAAAACTTACTTTGTGTTTGTTGTTACAGTGTTTCTGCAAATCGTCAAATGTAACTTACCTGAAACAAATGAAAACACTTTATAAGTTATTGTTTGTAAGTACCCTTTTGGAACATAATGTTGGATACATATTAAAGGAAAACATGACTAACTAGCTACATTTTTTCAATTGTGTATAAGTATAATATAATTCTGAAAAGACACCATAATAAAAGCACGCGATGGAGCTTTACGTTACGGTCCGGTCCGATCTAACGTCAGACAAAATTTAACGGTTAATACTATTGAGCATGTATCGGCACCATTAGACGTAACATCGAATCACATACCGAAATGCTGTCCGTTAGGGCAGTTCATTGAACATAACAGTTCGTGAGCAAGCTTATGTTATGATGAATGAGGCCCCAAGACTACTGTCATCTCTAGGAGCAGTAGTTTTATTGACGTTTGACAAGTCCAAGTGGACTCGTGTTTTGAGTAATTTCGATGTAATTTAAGTCAGAGTGTGTGGTGTGATGAATGAGTCTCGTTACCATTAAGTGTTTATTAAGGAAAATATACTGAAACTCTTCTAAGAGATCCGTCCCAACCCACGACAAACTAACAAAGATTACTACAAGACAATGTCTTGCATATTGTAAAACGCGATATCCGTTATTTAGTTGGAGTAATGCTGGTAAATTGTTAGTGCATCAATACAGCGGGTACGGGTTCGGGTTCACTCTCGCTTTGAAATCGAAAGCTGCGCCGCGGCGCATGCGACCGCCGAGACCCGCGGAGCACGCCGCGGTCAATCAAGTCTCATCCCACGTTTAAGTGTGTGTTTAAGGAACTTGTTTTTCTTAAAAGTAATTAATTATCCAAATAATAGAATTTACATTTTCTTTACACTGATTCTGATGTATTGCATGAAATCACTTTAAATTAATGAAAAATAAAACTCACAAATGAAAACAGAGTATCTAATCTCAAAGCAAAAAAGTCGTATTTAAATAGGAGATTACACTATTATTTTCTTGTGTTAAAATAAAAACAGTCATGGACGATTCTTTGCGCCAGTATTCAGCTGCTTTATAATATAAATAAATAAATGAATCTTTATTCAAGTAACCAGGACTCAGATTGTTAGTAACAATTGCACTTAAAAACTATGTTAGTTGAAACAAGATGTAAAATAAATTGAATTTAGATTTAGATTTAGAATTGAAATAAGTATCATAATAAATTATACTCATTTCAATTCCAAACCCACAATTAAGCTTTGATGCTTTGATCTCATCAGTCTTAATTTGTACTGAAAGATAGAGATCAAATAGTTTTTATGTTTCCAATCCAATTGCTAAGTGTACCGATGACATAACATCCTGCATCCGCACACATAATGCATCTGACTTCTCTCAGCTAGCCGGAATGCTAAACTATACCTGCCATATTATGATACTTGTAATGAACGCCCGCGCATAACGCGCAGTGACATAATACTTTCTAAGTCAGTGTGATAAACATAAGCAATTATTCGCGCATTCCAATGTAGCTGTCAGTGTAAATATTAATGAACTCAACAACACAATTAAAGTAATTAAACAGTTATAAATAAGACTAACTAAAAGAGACACAATTGTAATCAAGAACGGACGTGTATGAAAATAATTGCACAAAATATAACAGAAGGTAAACTCATGTATGTACCTCGCTTTGCATACCTCTCTCGCTCGCACGCTCGGCCGTCGCGCTAGGGACGCTAGGGTTGTCTTGTCATGTGTTGCGTTTATTTCGTTATGATAGAAAAATGTTACTCTTAATACTATGCAAGAAAGACAATAACAGATATCCACGTATACTTATTTATATTATATTTAGTACGTTATTATAGTAATAGTTTGCAAACAAATACACGAGAAGGAAGTAGTATTTAGTTGAGTGGTTGACACTATTATCCAACTAATATTATAAATGCGAAAGTTTGGATGTCTGGATGTTTGTTGCTCTTTCACGCAAAAACTACTGAACGGATTTTGATGTAACTTTACAGTATTATTGTTTATAACCCAGAATAACATATAGGCTATAATTTATGACGATCTGTGACAAACTGAATTTCACGCGGGTGAAGCCGCGGGCAAAAGCTAGTTATCCAATAATTCATAAAACCTCTCTAAAACAATTCGATATTCCTAATAATTGAGTTGGCTTTCAATTTCAATTGAAATTCAAATAAATAACTTACTTACCTCCCCGAATCAACTGGTAATTTAAAAAATGAAAATTCGGTATTTAATGATGAGTTTAAGCAACCAAATAC